CCACAAGATGGCAAGCTAACGTTGGAAGTGTATGTATAGTTAGGGTCTGGAAATTAAACCAGAAATTACCTTTCCATTGTTGTTTACTCATACTTTACAAGGACTGTGGGTTAAAATGTGTTAGTCATTTATATTTTTGAATGCTTATGATAAGTTGAACAGTTATCAAAGTACCAAAACCAAACCCACTCATAGTGACTTTATAAGGGTTTCCAAGGTTGTATATCTCTACGAAAGAAGACTGCCACATCTTTCTCCCACAGAGCTGATAGTGGTTTCGAACCACTGACCTTTCAGTTAGCAGTTAATCACTTTAACCAGTGCATCACTGGGGCTCTTTATTGAAGTACAGCTTTTAAAAATTGTGAGATGACTGTGATACACGAGCTGCTGGTCCATTTTAGGATGAATATACCAACCTTCATAATTGAAACAGGATAGAGACACCTTGTATGTATTATACATATTTAGTTTCCTAATCAGGTAGAAATTTGGGCATAACACAATTGACTGTCTCTTGGTTATACCAATATTCCAAGGGCCCTTGAAATAATTTTTTACAGGAAATTTGTAGAAGACTGGATTTGGCATTTAAAAAAAAAAAAAGTGAATTCTTCATCTGTCACTTTATGTAACCTTGGGCAGATCACTTTCACTTTATCATTCTGGGTTGTAGTCTCCCAATTTCTAAGAATTTTTTGGATTTCTTCCAATATATCTTTCTTGCATCTTTTTCATACTTTCAGAATAGGAAAGTTGCTTATTAGATTATCTGCCACTGTGGAAATGATCCCCACAATCACTGATGTCTATTATAGCTGAAGAAGATTTTCTATGTTGAGACAGATCAGATTTTATATTAGAAGGAAGAGCTTCTTGTAGGCCTCTCCCTGAATATCTCCCTCAGGCTTTTTTTTTTTTTTTTTTTTTGCCTCCACGTGCTCTACTACTGCTTCTTAATAATTTTTCAAAGAGCTCTGAAATACCCTCTCTTTGGTGCTCTTTGCAATATTAAATATACAAACAAAAATGTAAACTAAGACTAAATTGGCATCAGAATTTAAGAAAAGTTAGATGTATGTGATGGGATGTGAGCAAGAATAAGGAGAGTCAGGCTCTATGGGCGTTTTAGTGGTTTACTACATTTTTAAGAAAAAAAGTAACATGAAACAAAACAGTTACAAAGAAAAAGTTAATCTATTGTAACCAATATTGAGATCCTTCCACATCTTTTACACACCAGGGCTGGATTAAGGCATGTAAGGGCCCTAGACACTAATAATCTGTGGTGGCCTCTCTGTTTACGCATTCGAACGGGACATGTTAGTTATATATATACATGTATATGTGTGTCTTAGTTATCCATGATGTAACAATAATATTAGTGATTGAATGGAAAAGTAGTGTATGCTATTTTAGCGGAAAGAGATGAACTGGATTATAAAAGTTTTAGTGGGTAACTATAGCAAGAGACTCGACAGCCCACCTCCACCTCTTGCTTATTAGAAAAAAATAGTATACTCCCAAGAGGCCCTTCGAGGTAATGAGTTTCAATTACACGGGAGAGGACCATAGGAGACAGATGTCAGTGAAGGTGTTGAAGTGGTAGGGACCTCATAGCTTAAAGAACCTTGTGCGTGGACGCCCTTGTGACCCTGCATGAACTTGATTTCCAGTGGACACATTCTCATGCGCTGGAGCTGGTATCACTTTCATTTAGTGCCCTGCCAGTTTCCTTCCACTGCAGCGCTTGCTTTTCCTTGTGTCCTGTCTGCGTGGCATCTATGGTTCTTTGCTTTGGACAGCTGGTTCCCCTGTTTTGATGATGCCCTAAGCATGTGTTTACCTTGCTTATCAGGTAATCCGTCCCTGGTACGCACATATAAAGGTTAGAAGGCTTAATGTTTAGAAAGGGTGGGTACAAGAAAAGTGTTCTTCCTGTTTGTTATACCAAAGCCTGTTGCTGTCAGTTCTGACTCATGATGACCCTTTGTGTTAATAGAGTAGAAACACTCCATGGGGTTTTCTGGGCTGTCATCTTTATAGCAGCAGATCGCCAGGCCTTCAGTTTTATACAGGAAAGACATTTATGAAAAAGGTGGTGTTATTAGGGCCTTTTCAGTTGTAAGACACAGAATCCCAAACAATCAGTGTAAGCAAAAAACGGGCATTTATCTTTCATGTTGGAGTCCCTGGGTGGTGCAAACAGTTGACCCACTCAGCTGCTAACTGAAAGGTTGGCGGTTTGAGTACACCCAGAGGCACCACAGAAGGAAGACCTGGTGATCTACTTCCAAAAAAAAAAAAAAAAAAAAACCTATGGAGCAGAGTTCTACTCTGACACACATGGGTCACCATGAGTCAGAGTTGACTCTATGACAAGTGGTAATCTTTCAGGTAACTAAACAGCAAAAAGGGTAGGGATGGAGCCAGTCTCAGGTATAACAGGATGAAGGAATTCAGACATTCTCAGATCTTTACATTTTTCTCCTCCCCTTGATTTATAGTCTTTCTCTCTGGATTGGCTTCATTTCCTCAGGAAGACTGGAACCATAGCCACTTGCAGCTCCGGATATGCTTTGGTACAAGCACTTGAAAAAACGTTTCCCTCCAACTCCAATTAGAAAAATCCTTGTGGCCAGGGAGGGGCAAGGCCTGTAACCAGAAAGATTGTGGGGACAAGTACTGGAAATAATAACACAAAAATGACAAAATAATCACTGCAGGTCGGGAATGGCTTAAGTGAAATTAGGGAGAGATCCGTTTAGTGACCTGGGAAGCCTTTTGTGGTGAGAGTGGTTTAAGGAAGATTTAAGATTGATTGCCAACTATGCTTTTACTAGTCATATGACCCTGAAAAAGTGGCTGCCTTTCTGGGTCTCACTTCCCTCATCTCTAAGGTTACTGTCTGCTTTGTAAGCCCTGGAATGTTATAGGGTGGATCAAGTGAATTGATGCATATGGATGCAGGACAAAGGTGTAAGATACTTTACCCCATCTCCACCTCCACGTTACTTACATGGAAATTTTCTCAAGGCAGGGATTATGTATTATATCTCACAAGGTACATAGTGTCTTGCTCCCAGGTTCCTAATAAATATTTATTGATAAGAAAACAGAATAAAGATGGCAAAATTTAACTGCCAGTTTCTCACAGTCAAATGCTCTGGGTCTTCACTAACATCAAGACAGCCTTCAGAATGTTCTCATAGGAAACTCATGCCAACAAGCTTAAAAGAGAAAAAAAGTCATTCACCTTCCTATGTAAACAACTTCATTTTCATCACCCTTGCTCATATTACCTTTCAATTTCCCCTTGGAAAAGCAAGAAATGTACATATCCAAGCAACCAAACCTTTCTGCTTGGGCAGGGCTTGTTGTAACTGATGTGATGATGCTGAGGTCCACCCAGAAAAAAATATGTTTGACAGCAAATTCATCCTCAGACTGAAAAAGTCTCTCCATTCCGATTCTGCCCACTAAAACCCTATTTTCTAGATTTCATGTCATGACCAGGGCTTCAAAAACCTATAACCACCTATCACTGTCACACATACAAAAAAATTCCTTTTAATAAGTCCTTCAGTCATTACCTGCATTTGTGGAAGCTAGATGTTTTCATGTCAAATGGTAAAGTATATGGGTGTAGACTCATAAGTCTAGTAGAGGTCTATGATATAAATTGAATAAAGGAAAACCACAAAGTTCACACTTCTCTCTGTCATCCAGGACAGTCTCTCTTAAAAATATTTCATTGTTGGGACCATGGTCTCGGGGAACATCTAGCTCAATTGGCATAACACAGTTTATGAAGATAATGTTCTACATTCTACCTTGGTGAGTAGCGTCTGGGGTCTTAAAAGCCTGTGAGCAGCCATCTAAGATACTCCACTGGTCTCATCCCTTCAGGAGC